AAATAAAATAAATAAAATAAAATAAAATAAAATAAAATAAGTAAATAAGTAAATAAATAAATAAATAATGTCTATTTCCTGTTGTAGAGAACAACTTTGCCTCTAAACAGGGAAATGAGTCAGATGAGCTCACAATCATTTCTATGGAGATTTCTTTAGTGTGCAGGCTGTGATCAGCTGACGTGTGCTGTATTCAGCAGCCTTCGTCCTGGCTGATTTGTTTGCTCTACAGTAGAAAGTTCAATGACTGACTGAAGCATCATCAGCTTAACTTTAAACACTAGATGTAACTCTGACCATGAGCACCGGTCACATGCTGCTCTGTACTTTACCTTCACAGTGCAGTAAACTAATAGTTAACCTGCACTAATCTGATGACTGTTTGTAAATAACACAAAGTTACCTTTGTTCTGCAGCATGTTTCACAACATGTACAGACTCTGTCACATGTACAGACACAGCATCTGGTTTAAAAACACTTACATGTAAACTTTATATTTACAGTTTATCAAACAGCATCCTTACCTTTGAATATAACTGCGCCTCTTCCTCTCCTGGTCTGTTGTTCTGATCTTTCTCCATCTCTGAGTGAAGTTCACATGCAGGATGTCTCAGGCTTTGTACATGTCAGTAGTGTATACATGACATCCAACAAGATAAGCCTTCATTGTGAGTTCGATTAAGTTTTCAACCAACCGAGGTTCCTTTTTTGTTACTTGTATGTTAGCTGAACAACACGTCTCTAGTTATTAGCTCATATGAACTGATATCACACAACATGTAAAGTGTTTTTATAAACACATATCTGGCGTGAGGTCAACGTGTCACGTGTGGACATACCTTTTGTTAGGAATCTTGCTGTTTTTCTTGATTTCTATCCTGATGCTTTGCTGGGGAATCTTGATCTCGGCTCAAAAATCTCCCTTCGGGTTGTTTCACCTGCAGACGCCGTTATACACAAACCAGGTGTAGCTGCAGAATCAGTCAAACCAGACTGATGTGACCATCGAAACGCAGTCGTTTGCTCTTTGAGACGATGCATTTATTAGCTTCATTTCAAAGTTCTTTGCTGATCTAAATGTCCATTTAGCTGTCATGTCCCAGTATTACATGCAGTGGAAGCATATATTACTATTTACCAGTATTCCCAGCACTAACATAAGGTCCAAACCACAGCATGTGAAATTAGTGTTCTTCAGAATAAGTCACAGGCTTCACCGTGAGCGCAGCAGCGGGTAAGATGGCTAATGAGGAGAAAAGAAGATTGGGGGGGATTATCAGTGACCTGGAAACAGCCATGTGGTAACAGACTGAGTGCCTCTCAGTATCAAACATGAAGGTGTTAAGACAAGTATAGCAAAAGTTTGTGAATCCTTTGAGATTTTCCATATTTTTGCAGAAAAATAACATAAAAAATAATGAATTCATAAGTCAGAAGGAGAAGCTAATCAATGAATGATACGTGCTACAAAAAGAAGATTTCTGCAGAATTCAGTGAAAAGATTTCTTGTTGCTTTGCACACTGGAAAAGGTGACAAAGCCTCTGAAGAGTTCAGAGCAACAGTTACTCTTCTAGGAGTGATCGACCACCAAAGGTCATTACGAGAGCAAAACATTTAATATTCACAAAAGAATCCATGTTAACCTTTAAACAGCGTCACGTTCTCTCTCTGCCGAGCTGGTAACATTGTGGCAGCTCGGGCGCCAGAAAAAATGCATAAAATAAGAGAAATTGTAGCGTGGCTGTAGCTCAGGAGGTCGAGCAGGTCACCTACTGATCGGAAGGTTGGTGGTTCGATCCCTGGCTCCTCCAGTCTGCATGTCAAGTATCCTTGGGCAAGATGCTAACCCCAACTTGCTCTCCGATCGGAGATCCATCGGAGTGTGAATGTGTGTGAATGTAGTTAGAAAGCACTAAGTGTAGATAAAGTGCTTGTGAGAATGGGTGTGATTGGGTGAATGAGACATGTTGTATAGAGCGCTTTGAGTACTCCGAGAGAGTAGAAAAGCGCTCTATAAGAATCAGTCCATTCACCATTTACCGTCAAGTTTTTCACAATTAAAATAAAGAAAATGTCCATATTTTTACAGGATAATAAAAAAGTCGTCTTATGTGAAAAATCTGGTACTTTTATTTCATAATTAATACCATCATTTACCAGCTATTTTAAAAAAGTGCAAAAAAAGTTATTGTAATTACAGTTCTTAGAACTACACACTGATGGATGTGAATACTGAAAGACCTGAGCTTTACTTCATGTAATAACACGATAATACTGCCATAAAAACATGTTCACTTTACTATATTTGTTCTTAAAAACATTTTAAAGTAATAAAAATCTTCTGCTGCTGTGTGTCTTTATGTCTTTATGTACATTTTCACTTAAAACTAAAAAAAGAAAAGCAGAACGATGAGATTTTGTTCTAAAGTGATAACTCACTTCCTGTGCCTGAACATTTAATTCTGCTAACAAACAGACCAAAACAGAAAACTACAACAATTTGTTTTGAAAAACAAATAACAGTTCAAACGGCTTTTATTGAGCTATAAAAAACAAGCAGAGTTAAAATGAAAAACATCTGGAAACTAAACCAAGAGTCACGCTGAACGTTTCGCTGGTGCTGCAGAAACTCTGTGCAGACGGCAGAGTTGTGTTTCAGTCTAGGTGCAGCTGACGTTTGCTGTGAACGACTGTGTACAGATACCAGGGGAAGCAGGACAGAGCTGTAGAAAGGTAACCGCTGGGCCTCAGGACCGCTGTCTTTGTGCAATGAGGAACAAACGCTGCCAGTCCTTCAGTAGTGGGACGCGCTCACATTCCAGCCAAATCGTCTGACGTTCCCCAAAGAATACTGGAACTGGCTGGTCTGCCACTGGCATCCCATTCTCTTCACAAACGAGAGCACATCATTTCAGGGAAGAGGACCGCTCAGTTTTCTTCTTCCCTTTATCATCTTTTGCTAAGATATCTGGGAAAGGCATCTGTTGAGTTAAACTGAAAAAAAGGGCAAACTATTAGTAATCAGTGACTAAACACTTCACATTGGGCTGACACTAAGGATTCGCTTCACTGGGAAACTACACACAAACTGAACACACAGTGTGAGGGAAGATAAGATGATGATGACGGAGAAACAGATGATATATACAAAAGAGGGAATCAGGCAGAGAGGGGACGCAAAACTGAAGACAAACGAGAGGAGGGACTGGCAAAATAAAACAGCACATACGCACACAGACTCAGATAAAGACGCATGAGCTTGACATAGAGACAGAACACATAGATATTAGACAGACACACAACACAACTGGGAAGAGCACAACTGGAAACTAACAACCAAGGAAGAGAACGAGAACCATAGTTACCAAACTCAGAAGTGATGGGGTCGATACTTCAGAAAGAAAACTATAAATAAGGAACAAAAGTGCAAACCACTGAACCACAATGCTGCCCAGTGCTTCAGACAGTGTTTGCTTTTTAACTGTCTCTGTTCATTGGCGCAAAAACCAGGGCTGGACGGGTAATCTGGCATACCTTTGAACAGTACCAGCAACAACTAGTTACAACTAGTAACAGCTTGTAACAGCTACAAGCAGCTAGTAACCAGACCTGCTGCTCGCATCAGCTGTGGAGAAGTAAGGAAGAGATGGAGGGACGTAATTCAATTCAATTCAATT